GTTTTAAGAAAATTTAAGTTTTGTTTTAGCAAGATTTTGGTACAAGTGATCGTCAGAAAGAGTTAGTAAATCGGGTCCCAGCTTTGGATTATTGAAGGATATAGTTTTTAGAAGAACGCAGGCCTATAATATCATACAGATCTTTTATTTTATCACTAATAACTTAGAACGCTTTTACGAACGTCGTCTTTTAGCTATCTCAAACCAGCGTCCTGGAAAAATGTATATTACTAAAAGGTTTTTAAGCTATAAACAAGAGGAACTTAATTTTGAAGGTATTCAGCGCAGAAAAGATGGTATTACATTTGATGTACCTAGTGCTACAAAGATTGGAACGACATATATAGTTGATCCAATTATTGGAATTTGTTCATGCTTTGTCGGTATTTCTGGAGCCCCGTGCAAACATCAAGCTGCCATTGCTATAAAATTTCAGGAAGGAACATCTAATTTTGTTGATACATTTATGATTAATGACTGAATGAATTATTTTTATATTGCGACTAGTAAGTATTATTATATAATATATATTTATTTAAGTATTAATATAAGTATTATATTTAATTTATATTTTGATACTGTATTAGGCTCAGTAGTCCGAGAAAGATCGTTTTATGCTTCTTTGCATCGCCAAATCCATTCAGTATCTGAAAACAATATTACTAATCAACCAGAAATTCAAGAACCTGCAATAACATCAGAATTTATATCAAATTCTGAAGTTGCTATAAGTAAAAGAATTACGTGTGTATTTTATATTGGATAATTATAAAATATTTAATTTTTGCTAATTTAGTAATTCTTTTGTTTATAGTTTTACAAAAGATGATAACAGCAATGAAGAGTTAAGTGCTAATGCCGATAAAGAGTCAAATGCTAATGGCGATGAAGAATCAGACCGTATTGAATCTCTGGCTAGTTTCTTTCATGAGATTGAAAGGGATGTCAAGCAAAATACGCAATTACTTTCAGCTTTCGAAAAGTTTCAAAAAGGATATCATAATGCAAAAAATCTCTCAGAAAATAAGCTGGTTTCATTTGTTTATCAGCATGCAAGTAGTTCTGCAACGATTCGAAGTGGCAAAATCAATCTTCTTCAGAGACTTGCCAATAGAGGCAAAGAAATTAAACAAAACCCTTGTCAACAAATAAACCAAACCAAACCTAGAGATACCTCTTAAGATTTGGACTGGTTTGCAAACTATCCAATAACTCAAGAAATGGAACCAAATACTAAACTTAATACTACACTCGCA